TCCCCACTCTGTCTCTGGTGAAGCCTCTCACCGCCCCTGAGCCTCTGGCCTGTACCCCAGTTCTGTATGAATAAATAAATGAATCTTTAAAAAGCCAAGTCAGAGACCCAAAATGGGGTTGTTTATACCAGGGCCCTACTAACCTAGTTGTAGTTTCAGCCTCTCCCAAAAGTGGAAATTTAAACCAGTCAATTAGGAATTCCCTATCAGCACTACTGAGATAATCTGCCTGGCAAAGACTTCCTTACTTTTTCCTCAATAAAAAAGTGGCTTTGCCTGAAGTAACCCTTTTCTTTTGCTAGTGACCTTGTCCTGCCTGCCCTCTTTTTGATACCAAAAAAAGAAAGAAAAGAAAAAAAAAAAACTGTTCTGTCTTTCTATTAGATAGCATGCTGCCCATTCATGAATTGATTAATAAAGCCAATTAGATCTTTAAAAGTTAACAAAGTAAAAAAGTCTTAGAACAGTCATTGATACAGAATTAAATATCTTATAAGGTGCCAGGCATATTTACTCAGTAAGATTAATTTTTACTCTCTTCTGTTGATTAAATGTGTATATACACGTATCCTTAATATTTACTTATATATATACACTCATAAGGAAATCTATATGTATAAATTCACTAAGAAGGACTTACATTGCATTTCATTAAAAAGTTTCTTTTGGAAAGTTTGTTCAGTAAATGATGCTGGGAAAACTGGGAAGCTACATGCAAAAAAATGAAACTAGATCACTACCTCACTCCATACACAAAAATCAACTTGAAGTGGATTAAAGACCTAGATATAAGAACGAAACCATAAAATACCTGGGAGCAAAGATGGGCCAAACACTACACAACGTATACTTCAGTGACATCTTTAAAGATAGAGCACCCAATGCAGCGATAGTGAAGGCAAGAATACATGGGACTACATCAAGTTAAAGAGCTTCTGTACAGCAAAAGAGACATTACAAAAAACAAACAGACAGCCCACTAATTGGGAAAAAATTTTCTCACACAAAACTAGTGATAAAGGATTGATCACAAAAATAAACGGAGAACTA